TCTTCATCAGTCCCTTTAGTGCATTGACTTCACCTTCACTGTAACCACGAGCCCCCTTTAACTTCTGTCTTCTTCTTTACCCAGCGTGATTTTCAATAGCTCTTCACTGCGTCACTCCCTTCCAGCTACCTGCAGTCATTCTTCCTTTCGTAGCATTATCCTGGCAAATGTGCCGCCTTGGATAAGCGCAGCCTCTGCCTTCGCGGGGCCGGCATCCCCACAGCCGAGCATCGTGGAAGACGGTCTTCCAGATAGGCCCTCTGACGTCACTGTGAACTAGTCATCTGTGGCCTCTAGTTTTTGCACACAGTGCTCAAAGAATGTTTTTAAAATTAAGGTATATTACGTACAAATCAAGATTTCTGCTTCTTTTGAAAAATCAGAAGATTTGGCGACATAGGGCCGACGGTCCTGGTGGCGGCAACCCAGCGGCTAACCACTTTAGGTTGGGCGTGCATTCTTGAGTTTCCTGTCGGTTCACGCTGCTTTCATCATTTGCCTGCCCTGCCCCACAGGCACTTGAATTTTAGCCTCTGCTGCAAGTTCAAGATCAGCCATTCTCAAATGCGTCATCGGCAGCGCAGTGCGAGTTAGTTTGCTTACCTTCTCTCGGTAAAGACGATTTCACACTTTTTCTTCGATCATCAAATCTCCTGTCCCTTCTGTCCACCTTTCCTTAGGCCGATGAATGCCTCATTCTGATCAGTGGGCAAACGTGTTCTGGTCTTTCCATCTAAAACCCGCCACCCTCTCCTTCCCGGCCCCCATCGACCTCATTTTCCCTTTCATCTGCCGCATTCTCTTTTCCTCCATCCAGCTTTTAAAAAAAGGGACGTGAAGTTACCGTTTTTGTACCAAAAGCCGTCAGATTTCAGCAGTGTGGTTTTCCCCGGGACGTGAACGCTGTTATTTATCTCTTCCTCGTCTCCCACCCTGTGTTCGCTTGAATCTGACTTTCGCCCCCATCAGGCCACTAACGCTGCTCCTGTCAAGGTTATGGCCCGCTCGCATGTCGCCGGAACCGAAGGCAGCCCGTTCTCGTCTTTCTTAATCTCGCAGAAGCTCTGGGCTCGGTTGGCCACTGTCTTCCTCCTGGGAACACCACCCTTCCCGAACACACCACAGGCGATTTTGCAGGCGTCCCCGCTCTCCGCCCTCGAAGCCACACGCGTCTTCGGGGCGTGGAGGCACAGCCCTGGCCGCTTGGGGAAGGGCAGTGCCTGGAAACGCGTTCAGGGCACGGGCGTCGTGGGGGCGCGGGCGTCGTGGGGACGGAGCCC